GCCACCCGCCAAGCAAGCGACACCGTGTCGTCTCGGCTGCTTGCATTTTTTTCCTCGATATCATCCCCCGAACAAACTCCAACTCCAACCTCGACTCGACTCGACTCGACTCAACTCCCTAACCCTAACCCACCCCCCACCCCTTGCTCTGCCACCTGATTTGGCTCAACACCGCCGTCTGAACCCCGATCTTGCCTGATTCGGCCTAAACGCCAACCCAGTTTTTCTCCCTCACGACAAGGCCATCGCCAGCGCACCCATCCCCAACTTGTTCTCCCCACCCCACCAACAGCCTCAGCTCCCTACAACCTCAGTTGCCGTTGACAGCCCAGCCGTGGCAAGCCGGCCTCAAACCATCCTACGCCGCATTTTCTCTTGGCCTTTTTTTCCCCTCTTCTTCGCCTTGAAGGATCTTTGCTGCTGTTGGATTGACGGTCGTCTTTTGAAACAGAATTTCAAACGGTCTTTGCCTCTCCCATCACCCTTGCTTGCTCTGGCCAAACACGCTGCATCGTGCGGTGCATGCTCACGACCGCCGAGATGCAGGTCGTCCATCCGCCGTCTGCCAGCTTTTCCCACTTTGATGAAGATGCCCTCCTTCAGGTCAATCAGGTGTATCAAGCCAACTACTTTGGCTGCGCCCTCACTCGCGGTGGCACGAACGAAGACATGGAGTGTCTCTCTGAGAGAGCTGTCCGGCGCATGCTGAACACTGGTGTGCGGCCCCTTCGTGTCGCCCTGGTCATGGCTGGCAACAGCATCTCCCTCGCCAACTTGGATAAGAATCGTACCCTCCTCAGCTTCAACGTGCGCGAAATGCGGTGCTTCTCTCGCCATCGTGACCACCGCAGCGGCAAGCCCAAACTCATCTCCATGATGACGGTCAACCGCTTCACCAAGGACAAGAACAAGCCATACCAATGCATCATGATTCACTTTCACACCACTGCCGAGGCCGACAGCTTCTGCTACATGCTCAACTACATGTGCCAGGAGTTGTTCCGCAAGCAACGTCAAATTGATGCAGCCCGTGCGGCCACCCTCAACTACCCCCACACCACAGACGATACCGGCCTAATCGACTCGGCCCCGCCTAGCCCCTCAACGCGCGCTAGCAACCGACTTTCCATCAGCCGAGAAGCGCAAGGTGCCCGACCCCTTTTTAGCGCTGACACAGGCTGCAAGGACTCACGCCAACGCCGACGCAGTAGCTACCAGGCCCGGCTGCCCGGTAGTCAACCTCAGACCCCGCGCATGAGCCTCACCCAATCGCCGCGGGCCAGCATCACTCTCGCCAACTTCAACACAGCCGCGCTGGGAAGTAAACGTCCTAGCAATGCGGGATCGAGTCGCAAGGCCTCCATCATGATTGAAGAACCTTTCAGCCACAGCCCCCCACGCCCCGACTGCCTGGCCCCCGTTCGTGTCGGATGGAATTAGCCACGTGCTGTCCCTGTTATGAATTATTCTGCTACATTTTGCGCTTTTCGCGAACGCCCTTCGCCACCGTGTCCTTCCTGATTTTTTTTCTCCAGTTTCCGTCACTCAAGATGTGATCGATCGCCCCGAGTGTGAACGTTGAAAACGCCTCCAGTTGTCGCTTTATAAAAATAATAATTGCTGATCAGAATTAACTGATATCTGAGCCTCACTGCCAGTGCTTTCAACGAAGCTTGCCACCTGAACCTCTGTCAATGCTTCTGGTCGGAGAGTGGTCAAAAAAACGCCCCACTCAACAGAACGGGTCGCACCAGAAAAAAAAAAAATCCCCGTCCAACCTCGAACAGAACCATTCGCAAAAGGTTGATTCACTCCCAAGGCCTAACATGTCCATAAGCAAGCGAAACTCGACGGCCAAGATCAATCGCGCTTGCCGTCCGCCGCCACAACCTCCTCCAAGTGAGAAGAGGTTGGAGAGAGCAAGCTAATGGTGGGCAATGGGAGAGTCGTGGGCAACAAGCTGCTCTTCTCACTGGTCGAGTGCGTGCGCGCCAGTTTGGAGGCCGTGCCGGGTGCTATGAGCTTGGATCCCATGGAGACGCTCGTATGAGATCCACGACTCTGCAGCAACGGCGCAATCCCGCCAGACGGTGCATCGAGCACCGCCAATCGCGGCACGTCCACGTAGTCTCGCCCGTGCCATAATATGTACTGCGGGTCAATCAGAAAATGAGTGCATGATCTGGCACGGCCGTGCGGTTCGCAAGACGGAGCAAGGTGCATCCTTGGCACAGAGGACGCACCGCGAAACAAGCCAGCGCCACCGTCATGGAGAAAAACAGCCAGAACATGCTCGAGAGCAGCAAGGAAAAAGGCATCATGGCTAAACCGGCCACCGCGACCAAGGGTAGCTAAGCGTCATGATCAAGGTGTGAGCTCGCAGAACCAGCTAGGAGCAGGAAAAGATTGATCACAATTCGCCCAGCATTGAAGGTGAAGAAATCATGGTCGAAAGCTTACCAGCGTGACATGCCAGGCATGGGTGGGGCCCTTGAGCGCTTTAGCAATCGTTTCCACTACCGACAAAAATTCGTTGCGAAAGAATCATGAACACATACGCCTCCGTCACTGCATGTGTGGGGCAGGCCGGATGCATTTCAAACTGACCGTTGGAAGTGCGCACGCGCACTTGACCCGTCAGGAGAAGCAACGCATCTTGCTTGCCGCCATCCAAGAAATTGTTGTGAAAATAACTGCCGCAAATTGAACATGAGCTTGCCAGTCCTGGGACACGACGCGAAAAGCAATAGAGCGCCCGATGTTGAGGTTGCCTACCGCAGGGCACTATGGTACAGGTCCCGCAACGTGCCACGCAGCGTGCGCTTGCCGGTGCGTGTGAAATCTGACTTTTGAGCCGGTGTACCTGGCAGGAAGCACAGAGTCTGGGTGAATGAAGCGACGCTATGACAATGGGATTGAGACTGGTCGAGCTGAAGATCAGCGGCTTCGTACCGGCGTACTGGATGCTGATCTCATCGGCATGATCAGCCCAAGTGCCTCGAAAAGTTGTCAACAGCCCGGGCCAGGAAGTTGCCAACGCACTCTCTGTTGCTGTGGTTGGGGCCAAATTGAGAAACTCGGCCAGATGCTGCAGTTGCAAGAGAAGTGCATCTTGTGCAAACTGCCAGATCCGAACGAGATGGGGGCGAGCCAGGGGTAAGTTGCAAATATTGGTCAAACTGCGCATGCAGGCAGCCGCGCGTCAACCGAAGCAACACCGACCATGGTCTGAACGACATTGGTGCGATCAAGCACATCAATGCAGTTGGTTCGGATGACACCCTTCTGCCTGTGGGCCAAGCGCTGCACCATTCCCAAGGACATGAGGCTCGATAAATCATAAACCCACACTGATCAAAACAGGATCACCGGCTTAAACTTCGTCTCAGGGCTACGCGTACGTACGCCGGACGTTAGGCTCATTGTGCTTATGCCCTGATGCTGGCGCCAGTTTGAGGTGGAAGCCTGGTGCCAGCCACAAAACAAGATGAGTGGCCTGATCAATCTCATCTGCAGCCACGATTGATTGCCACTGCGCGACGCGTCTACTCTAAAGCACCAACTTTTAGTTTGGCGAGGTGTTGCCACTGCATGTTGCGGCATTCGTGGTGAAAGTCAAACCACTCTGATCTGCACACGGCGCATGACCCGCGGGCGTGCCGAAGAAAGTGACCATGAACAACTGAGTAAGCTGCGTGCTCGCTTTGCTTTTTTTTTTCGACAAACGTGTGTACGAGTGCAACAGGATCAACCACGAACTGACTTGATGGGGAGGGCCCGTTCGATGCTCTGCAGAACGTCTTGAAAACGGCTCCCGAGGATGCCTTCGGAGCCCGTCTTGTTGACCAGATTGATGCACAGGCACGGTCCAAATCGCTGAGAAACCACCCACCGATGTTACCCACGCCAGATAGTGAGCTCTTGAGTGACACGTGTGTGGGACAGGTGGTGTGGAATTCAAAAGGTACAAGAAAGAGAAACGATCGACAATCGCGCAGAATGGGTCACAAAAACCGGCGTGCACGCGACCAGACGCACAGTGCAAAGGTCGCTCAGGTGACGCTGGCAGGCCAAGTTGCTGTCATCATACTCGCTCATTCGAAAGGGTGGCTTGTAGCTGTGGTCAGAGCAAAAGGTTTCCACACGTGCAGTTCAGATTAGGAAGTTAGCAAATGCATGAGGAACATTGCCACCAGTTTTGTGAGAACAAAGTTGAAGGGGGGGCGTGCACTGCATTTCTTAATTCTTCCACTACTTGATCAGAAATCGTGTTGGGAATCCAGATTCACATGGGCTAAAGACGCACCGCAGATCTGGGGGCTGTGACCAGCAGAGAGGAATAGAGCCACGAACTTGTACAAAACAGCTTGCAGCCGTACCGCACACCAACACCTGCTCAGACTCCACATGGTTGGCGCAATGGCCGGAAATGCGGACACCACGCGAATGGAAGCGAGTGCCTGACGGCATTTAAATCATGTCAGTCCAACGCACGGCCAGTTGAGGATGCCCGAGTTGATGGCACGCGCCAGGAGGACAGCCGTGCTTACCGATACGCCCGAGGCTGCGGCGTGAGAAGAGAGCAAAGGTATAGGCCTGTCCGCTCAGCGAGGTCAGCTCCTGGCTTCTAAAGAAGCCATGCGCAAAGGGCACCAACAGCGGATGGGCCTGCAGGCGTGTGCAGAGGGTGAGTCCGATGCGGTGTCTTTGCGCCTGCAATCAAGACAAGCAAGCAAACATGGGCAAATTGTGGCAAACCTCTGGCACATCGAGCAAATCTTCAAGCAGGAGGCGGTTGCAGAAGAAGCGTCGGTCGGCAATGTCATATAGATCCCGGTTGGTAGTAAACTAGGTTGGGTCAATGATCCACCAAGCAGCCATAGCCAAGAATGAGTGGAGTGGACTTTGGCCCAAGCTCGACGTCAAAAGACACGTGCTTTACCTTGCTCTGTTGTGAGAAGGGCGATGTGACATCGTAGGTGTAGGAAAAGTAAAGGCCACGCTGCTTCAAGACTGTGCGGATCAGATCCAAGCACCGCTCTTCGGCCCGTTGCTGCGCGTGCGGGTTCATAATAAGCTTCAAAATGCCGGCAGGGACTTGGACCGCGCCGCGAAGGGATATGTGAGGCCACATGATGCAAACGCGCGCACCTGCTCAACGACCAGCCCCGTTGTCTTGCTGGCTACGGGCATGAGCTCGAAATCACTGGCCTGTGAAGGAGCCAAGCCGAGAGTTCCAAGGCGTGAACGACAACGTCTGGCACAGAGCCAACACACGCTCTGAAGGCAAGATCAATGTAGCGGCCCTGAACAACGTACACTGTAGATGACATGGCCGTTGATGCGCGCAGCCGCCTCAACACCGCAGACCAGCACCAGATAGGGGCCTACAGTCAAAGCAGAAAGGTAAATGAGCACATTAAATCTCAGAAAAGAATGGGGCAGGCAGGCCAGGGTGCGCCCTCGTCAGTCTGAGCAAGAAGAAGAGCCTACCGCTTAAAAGTCGCAAAAGGCCATACAATGCATAAAACTCGCCGGCATCGACGGCCGAGTCCAGCTTTGCCGCCGCTGCGTACGCCACCAGACCACGCACAACCACCAGCCACGATGAGGCAGATCAAGGCATCGAGCCGTGAAGGTCAAAGCGCTCAGAAGCGCAAGGATTTGGCTTGCTTTCTTGGAAGCACGTGTGGGCCTTTTGCAGCTCTTGTGGGCATACAAGATTGAACGAACGACTCGTACCACCGGAGCGGATTTCAAAGGAGTGGCGGTCGATTACGATGCTGCCGGCCTCAATGTCGATCTGCAAAAGGTCTGCGGACGAGAACCTGCACAGATGCCGTGCAGGCATGTGGTTCACCGCCGATCAAAGGTGGTCAGATCAAACCGACGGGTGGTGGAAAATCGAGAGCTGGGAGAGGACACCGGACTCAGCTGGGTACATACACGCGAAACTTCTTCATTGGAGTGGGTTTTGACCCCCCGCTGACCAAGCAGCGGGGCGTGCACAATCAGGTCCACTGCCTTACGCCTCAATGAAGCGTGGGCTCGATCTGGGCCGCACGCGCTGCTGGTGCCTTGCCGTGGGCCTCAAGCTCTGTCACAGAGCAAACCGAGCGCTTCGCGGTGCTGGCACTCCAAATCTCCAAGATGATGTGGTCTACTCCTCCACCTGCCAAGTGCCACACATCTCCCGCAACAATGACTAACTCAAGATCTCGACACGCCGCCTGCACCACCGATCGCTTCTCGCCTCCCCCCGCCCCTGCAACCCCCTGCCTCCCTGCGAACCCAGCCGTGTCGTCTACCTCTCTCTCAATGTTGAAAAAATGAAGCGCGCGCTCAAAAAAAAAATTTGAGAGAGACAGCGAGAGAGTTGAGGTGCATTTGTCAGACACATGTGTGTGTGTGTGTGTGTGTGTCTCTCTCTCTCTCTCTCTCTCTCTCTCTCTCTCTCTCTCTCTCTCTCTCTCTCTCTCTCATTCAGGATCAAGGATGGCGGCGCCGCTCAAGCCTTGGGAGATGCGGTATGAGCCATGATTGCTATGCAGGCGGTGGTCGGGAGAGGTGTGTGGGCTGATGGTTGTTGATGGGCGGGCTTGTAGATCAGCAGATGCCACTGCTGGGTCTGCAGCAAGAGCGGCTGGCATGGAGCCAGGCACTGCAGCCAATCCGGGAGGTGTCGCTCCTCCCGCTGTGCCGGCCCGCGATTTGGATCCCATGGGCTATTCTCCCATGGGAGCCCGGGGCTTCCAGTATGGGGCTCATCCGTACGGCTATCGCGCCCCGATTGGCTATGGCCGGGGCTATGGTGGTTTTGGGTACGTGTGAGCACGCCCGCGTGCCAACATGATGGCAGCCGACATGTGACAATAGCTCATGGGGTCGCTTTCATGGACGTCTGGCTACTCGTCAGTTACGATGCTTATGGGGCAGAATCTTCAAGCCTGAGCCGCGTGATTGAGGTCGGCTTCTTGCGGCACGCTCTTTGCACGCTCTTCTGGACTATGCCTTCCTGCCTCTCGCCCCTGGCCTTCATTGCTCCTGTTGCCGACCTACCTACCCCTTTATGATTCCCTCCTTCAACCAACCCCCTTGCTTCGTCTCTCAGGACAAAGCGCGCGCCGCCTTCCAAACCGTGGAGTCGCTGGTCTTTGCCGTCAGCTCAGTGTCCCACATGTTGGAAAGCACTTATGATGCTCTTTTCAGCTCAGTCATGTGCGTCACCGTCGGCTCACCTTACCGCGCGTGACCCCTCTAACCTCCGGAACCGCCCCCCGTGCAGTGCTATTGTTGGCGTGGCAGAACACTTTGGCAACATGAAAGACCAACTCAAACAGACTATTAAAGCCATCCTACGCCTCCAGGCACTGCGACGGCTCCTCGCCGCCATTCTTCGCATGATGCATCTCCCCGTTCCATCTTTTTTGGTCTGTGCTGCTCACCAGCCTCGTGCTCTCCCTTTGATGATCATTTGTGCGACTCCAGCTTAATCAGCATTATGATCCTCATCATCAAGATCCAACCTGGTCCAATTGCGATCGGTCTCACGTGTGTCATGTGCCTCCATTGTGCGGGTGGTGTAGGCGATACCGGCCAGCGAATCAGTATCGCTGCCCAGCACTGCCGAGGGTGGCCGCACGGATGCAAGCACAATGCGTTCTCCACGGTAAGCCTACTCATTTTGAGTGGCGCGATCGTCTTGCGTATGCCGCGGTGCCCAATTCCTGCCCCTTCCCGCCCTTTCCCCGCTTTCTACTGACCACTTTTGGCCGCATGCGCTTGGTATCCCTGCTTGCCTTCTCTTCTTGTGCTGAAGCAGCTCGACATCCCAGTGGGGCACACTGGTTTTCATGGCACTTGCCGTCGGTGGCCCCTATCTGGTCTGGCGCTTTCTGAAGAGTTTTGGTAAGGCCCACGGATCCTTGACTTTGACTCTGCCCCCACCCCTCCCAACGGGCCTGTGCAAGCTCCTCTCCTTACTTCTGAAACGCTTGTGCCCGCGATCTGCTTGTTCATCAGACGATCGCGAGCCCGTACGTGCAAAGATTATTCATACCTTTGTCGCAGAGCGGCAAGACGAGATCGAGGTTCATGCAGGCCAAGAAGTGGTGCGACTCCTGACCGCTCTTGCCCTGACTGGGGATATGATCTATATGATCTGTGCTCTTGTGCTCAGGTCACATCACGCATCACGCATGATCTCTGCCCCCTTGTTTCTGTGTGAAACGTTTCGCAGCTTGTGCTTCCGCCAACATCTGAACCACGGGGCTGGGTCACGGTTCGGCTCTTGGACGACTCAAAACAAGGGTTCGTTGCTCACTTGATTTCTTTCTCTTTCTCTCTTTCTCCTTCTCTCTCTCCGATGTCACCGTGACATCTTCCCCAAATGCATTATGCTCATTTTTTTTTGTTCGTTTGTGGCCTTGGCTGTGCTAAAACAGGCTCGTTCCCCTCAACCATCTCAAGCGTCTTGGCTCAACACCAACCTCCGTGCGAAGTGGGCCGGCTATGCAATCCGCCTATAACCACGTAACGCATTGACTCAAGACGGCCGTGTGATACACGTGCTTTTTTAGAACCTGTTCGTCGCCCACTCTGTCTTTGTTTTGTTTTTTTTACTTTTGCGAGCTTTTTTTGGCTTGTCATGTGTCCGAGTATGGGTGCTTCAGTGGACTCGGCATAGCATCATACCCCATCACAGACGCCAGCTCCCACCGAACGCGCAGTTGCATTTTTAGGCTCTTCAATTTCGCATCTCGGTTTGCTTTTGCGAGCCCTTTTTGCAAATGACATGTTGTTCCTTTTCAAATGGGTGGGGTCTGAAACGATGATGGGACAAGTAAACACTTGCAAGTCAAAGCCCCATCGCAAAAGTAGTTGGTGGCGCTCACACGCTGCCAATGGTGCTTTATGCATACTCTCTTTCGTCTTCTCTCTTGCTGAGCTGGACAGCCTTGTGTTTCCATTTTTCTTTCTTTTTATTTGGCTGAGGAAGAAAACACTTCCGCCAACCACAGTAGCGCTTTTGGATGGCTTTTCATGAGTCGAGAACGCGTGCTGCTTCCTTCTCCATCTCCAAGTCCTGTCAATCAAAAGAGCACCAGGGTGAGCAAGAAACGTGTTTGTTCGCCCTCTTCTGACTGTCGCAAGCAAGCTGCGATAACAAGAGCCGAGGGAGAGATACAACAAACGTACATAAGAAGAAGGATCGTCGGCATCCAGGCCACCGGGGTAAGCCAAGCCAGAAGCTCCTGCAATGGCTCCAAAGCCGTCATACGTCGGGGTGGACCATGTTGCCGCAGCCGCAGCCGTTGCCGCCCCGGCACCAGCTCCATAAGCTGACATGGCTGGCTCACCCACCGGGCGCTCCAATCCCCACGGTGAAGCAAACGCCCCAGCCCCGGCACTGCTGCGCCCGTTGCTTGCCACGCCCGGAGCTGCGGAAGGGGGTAAGGAAGTGAATTGCGCTTTGGGCACAAACTCGGGAGCACGCTCGTCCAACATGGAGGACCAATGATCCATGCCGGGGTCAAACCCCAAGCTTGAACTTGGCGCACTGCCAAAACTTCCAAAGCCCACTTCGCTACCAAAGGGCATCAAGCGATCAGAGCTGCTCTCGAACCCATCACCTCCCCAAACCTCGGCGGACAAAGCTGGTGATACGGCTGCAAATCCAGGTGGATTTGCACCCATTTGGCTCGTGCCAAAAATAGATGGGGAATTCAAGAAAGCCTGGTGACTGTCACTGGTCGGTGTGCTCGTAGGTAACCCTCTCGCCGAGGTTGCGGAATGAGGCGGAAGTGAGACGGCTGTCGGTGTGGGCACAAGAGTCGGAAAGGCGAGTGACGCCGCCACGGGATTACTGGCCTTCACGGGCTTGACTTGCATCTGAGTCCCGGAAGCAATATCAGCAGCAGCAGGTTCTGGTGCGGGCCTTGGGTTGAGCTCGTGGGACGACGCAGCCGCCACCTCTGGCCCAGTCTTCAAAGGGGGCAGGGAGAGGGCTTCGGGCGCAGGCAAAGAGGCGGGTATGGGTGCTGACGCTGATGGGTTAGGCTCAGAGATAGCACGAGCATCCTCAGCACGAGCATTCTCAGCACGAGCATCCCCAGCACGAGCACCCGCAACTGCAGCTGCGCGCTCTTGTTGCCGTTGCTTGCGTCGGTTTGCGCGACGCCGTTTCGATTTGCTAACGCGACCTTCGGAGGAAGCCGCGGCTTCTGCTTCCCCGACCTCTAAGTTGGGGGCCTCTGGCCCTTCTGGGACGGAAGAGTCGCTCGCTTTGATGGCATGGACCCTATCTGAAGCCGAATCCGGCGCCACCACCTCGCTTGCTGCGACATCTTCAGTTGCAGTGGTGCTGGCCACTTGGGCAGCGTGTGTCTCAAGCTCAAGCCGGCGCTGCTCCTCAAAGAGACGCCGAGCCTCCTCCTCTTGTTCAAGAATGGCTGCCTCGCGCTTTCGTAGAGCCTCGCGCTCCTGTTCTTTGCGTTGCTCCTCGGCTTCCTGTTGTTGCTGCCGAATGCGGCGATCCAGGTCCTCCAGCTGTTGGCGCGCACGTTGTTCAGCCTGCTGCTTCTCTTCCACGCGCTTGCGGGCAGCCTCGGCCTTGGCTTCCAACCGATCGCGCTCGCGCATACGCGCCTCTTCCTCTTGGCGCAAAAGATCCTCGGCCACGGCGCGAGAGCGCTCAGCCAGCGCGCGCTCAAGCATGAGCTTTTGGCGAATGTCTGCGATGCGACAAATCTTCACCACCTCCTCAATGCGGGCTTTGAGGCATCGCCGCACGACGCGCAGAATGGGATCTGAGTACGCGGCTTCGCGCAAGAGGTCAAAGAGCTGAGAGCGCTCCTCAATCTTGGCCGCATGTTCTTCCAAAAGACGGTCCAGGTCGTCGGATTCCTGCTTCTCAAACATGGCAATGGGGCGCAAGTCCATTTTCTCAAAAATTGACAAGCGGGACGACTGCTCCGCGGCGGCGGCGGCGGCCACTGCTGCAGCTTGATCCAAAACGGCCTGAGCTTGGGCCTCGACCTGGGCGGCGGACAGCATTTCACTCATGGCCGCTGCCACATCTGCAGGAAATTGGGAATCATTGCTGCTTGCCGCTGCCGGTCTGGGCGGGGCAGCCGCTTCCGCAGCTGATTTTGAGGTCGTCGAGCCAGCAGAAGCATCAGCAGCCTCACACTTGGCCAAAGCTTGCCAAACCGAGTCGACCAGTGCCTGCTCCTTGGCAGCGGCCTGAACGTTGGCACGCTCGAGTTGAGCCCTACCTTGCTGATGCGCCTCGAAAAGCTGCTGCTGCAGCTGGGCGCCCTCCGGGTTTTCGCGCATCATGACCTGGCATTGCGCCTGCAATTGAAGGAGGCGCTGCTTCATGTCTTCTTGCGCGCTCAGCTTTTGCCGTGTGCGCACTAGGATTCGCAAGGTCCGCTGATATTTGTCACGGAGTGTGCGAATCTTGCCCCGACATGCCTTAATTTTAGCGGCCAGATTGTCCTTGCGCTGCTGATAGAGGGCACCCTGCAGGGGCGGTACGGCCTTTTTCGAGCGCTGGCCCTCCTGTAAAAGATTGATTTGCATTTGCAAGGCCTTGAGTTCCATCACATCGATGCTCTCCAAATCCTTTTCGTGCTGTGTGATTTGGCTGGACATTTCGCTGATGCTATCCTGCATGCGTCTGGCCAGGGTACTGACAGACTCCAGATCCTTGTTGAACACGTTGATGCGACGATCGGTAATCTCAAGATACTGGTCCACAACTACCCACAGGCACATGACCTCGACAAACTCAAGCCGGCGCTGGTGGCGCTGCGGGTCGCTCACGGCATTCAACTGCCGGAATTTGCCGTGAAGCATCACGGTGAATTCGGCGCGCACGCTCAGCACCTTTTCTTTTGCCTCAATCAAAGGAGCCAGGGTTAGGATGCGCTTGTGAATGGCCTTGAGCCCCGGGCAGATTTGGCGCCATCGATACTCGTCTAGAAGTGCAGCACAGCAGTGCAGCAAGAGTGAGCAAGAACCCTATGGCTAGCGAAAGCATGACAAACGAAGCGATGATTGCAACAACGCACTGGTGGTTTCTGGCGAGCGATAGAGCCAGTTGACAATGAGATCAGTTTGGTCTTCAATGGTACCATAAGTCATTGAGGTTTGGCGAGGCAGCACCAAGTACAGGTAATCGGCATCGTTGAAGAGGTCGGGCATTTGTGGTGTCTCCTGTTCGACAGATAAAAGAATGCATGCATCAACACTTCA